TATGCACAGGAGCTTGGGGCATCTCTGGGCGAGATCGCTGGCACAGGTGGCATGCATGCACCTTAGCCTCAATGTCCTTATCTAAACCAGGCCACCACAAGTGGCCGCGCGCAAGAGCCTTCATACGAACAATGCCAGGATGACCTTCGTGGAGGGACTCTAAGACCCTAGTCCTCATTGAGGTGGGAATGACAACTCTGTTTCCCCAAAGCAGACAACCCTGAGAAGTGGACAACTCGTTCCTTTTGGACCAGAAACTCTGAAACTCAGTATAGGGCAGTGCTCAGGCCATCCAGACAAAACCCAGGAAAGGACACGTGAAAGTGTGTGATCTGTGCCTGCTTCAGCGGCAACATCCCTGGCATTAAGAGGGAGCTCGGGCAAGGCCTGGATGGATAGAATGTTGACAGCTGGCGCAGGGTCAGCTTCTACTACTGGCAGGGGCAATCTACTGAGGCCATCAGCATGGCCCATTTCTTTCCCAGGATTGTGAAGGAAAAATCATATGCAGACAAAAAAATAGACCACCTACGCATTCCAGGGGAAATGATTTGGGGAGTCTGCTTACGTGTGGTAAACAGTCCCAGCAGAGGCTTATGGTCAGTGAAGACCGTGAAATGCCTGCCATATAGAAAATCATGGATTTTTTTAATTCCAGCAACAACAGCCAGAGCCTCCCTGTCTATCTGAGCGTAGTTGCGCTCAGCAGAAGACAGTGTTCTGGAGTAATATGCAACAGGAAACTGAGTTCCATCAGACCTGAGGTGGCTCAGGACGGCTCCTACCCCGTAAGGGGAAGCATCACAAGCGATGCACACAGGAAGGGACTCATTGAAGTGTGCAAGTACACTGTTAGAAGTGAGCAAGGCCTTGACCTCATTGAAACTAGCCTCATGCGTTTGTGACCACTGCCACACTGCTTGTTTATCTAATAACCTGTGAAGAGGCTCAGCTACACTAGCTTTATGTGGAAGAAAGGAATTGTAGAAATTCAGGAGGCCCAGAAAGGCCTGAAGTTCGGCCTTAGACTTCTAAAATAGCAATTAGTTTGGATTCAGCAGGGTGAATCCCAGCAGCATCAATTTTGAACCCCAGAAATTCAGTAGAAGGCACCCCAATTTTGCATTTGTCTTTTTTGAGCTTGAGGCCTGTTTTCCTGAATCTTAACAGAACAGCCCTTAGCCTTTCAGCTAGAATGTGTGTGGAGTCTCCTGCAATTAAGACATCATCAAAGTAGGGGCAAACCCTGGTATACCCCGTAGTGTGTCTTCCATTACGCTTTGGAAAATCCCAGGAGCGACATTCACTCCAAACTGTAGCCTTTTTACCTTAAAGGCTCCCCTGTGGGTCACAATGGTCTGAGCTATAGCAGCATCATCATCACAGGCAGCTGTTGATATGCTTGAGCTAGGTCAAGCTTTGCAAAAACACGCCCCCCCCTTGAGGGAGGCCAGGATATGACTGACCACAGGAACAGGATAGGCATGTTGCTGCAATGCCTTATTAAGAGTGCATTTGTAATCAGCACAAATGCGAATGTCCCCATTTGCCTTTAGAGGAGTGACAATGGGGGTCTCCCAAGGACTGGAATCAACAGGTTCTAGGATTCCCTGTTGGATCAGTTTGTCTAACTCAGTGTCAATTTTACTCTTTAAAGCAAAAGGGACCCTTCTTGCTTTAATTCTAATGGGAGTGACAGTGGGGTCTAGCTTTAAGGACACAGGGGTCCTTTGAATGTGCCCAGCTGGGGGCTGAAAACATCTGCAAATTCTTTGCAGACTTCCTGTAGGTCGAGTGTTTGTAAGCTGTTGAGCCCTGTGACGTGTATCCCCAAGGCCTCAAACCAATCGAGTCCTATGAGACTCGATCGTTCACCCCCTACTACTAATAGGTCTAGTGGACCTTCAAAATTCTGGTACTGCACGTTAAGGGTGGCCTCCCCCTTAACACACACTCTTGAATTTTGAAAATCTGTTAACACAATGTCAGAAGGCCTTAACTTGGCCTGAGTTCCACTACCGGAACAAATCTTCCTAAATGTATGCAAGGAGATGATTGAAAGGGCAGACCCTGTGTCTAGTTCCATAGTTCATGGAACCCCTTGTAGCTTCACCTTGAGTGACAGCTTTTTCTTAATGGGCTTGTGTGTGCCTGTCCTGAAGATGCTCCTTCGCGAAGCGCAAAAACCTACCCTATTCTGGCTGGGGACCCTGGTACCTTTCAGGCGCAGTTCTTCCTGAGGTTGTACTTTTCGTCGGCCCAGACACATAGCTGCAATGTGTCCTTGTTTTCCGCATGCCCGGCAGGTAGCGGAGCGGAACTTGCAGTCGGTTCTCCTGTCGCGACCTCCACAGCCGATGCACTTGAGCGGAGCTGAAAAGCTTCCCTTCTGATTCCCTTCCTTCGTGGGGTGGAGACGGTCGACTTCCTTGTCCGGATCCTCCTCGGAGTTCCCTTGGACGTCTTCTTGGTGCACGGATGCGACATCTGGACTGTTCCTGATCGGCCGCATGTTCTTGACGGTGCCGCCTGCTGCTTCTTCTGCGGTGACCTCTCTTAAGGCATCTTGGAAGGACTTCTTCGGCGAAAAGCCTCTGCTGTAGATCTCGATGCCTTAACCCGCACACGAATCGGTCCCTTAGTCGTTCTTCGAGGTCCTTGAACTCGCAGTGCTTGGCGGCCTTCCTCAATGCGGCGATGTACTCTTTGGCCGACTCTCCGGATTGTTGATCCCTCTGCTCAAAGGTGTGGCGCCATGCGATGACGGACATCTTGGGCTGGAAGTGCTCCTTCAATAGCTTCTTTAGATCTGCGTAGCTGACAGACTCTAATGGGACAGGTGCTGCAAGGTTTTCTGCGATTTCGAAGGCGTCTTGACCACAGACACAAAGCAGGGTTGCAGCCTTCAAGCTCTCTTCCCTCACTTGGTTTGCCTTGAAGTAGTTCTCCACCCTGGCTACGTAGGACTCCCACCGCTCTGGATGTGAGACGTCGAACTCCGAAAGCCTTCCAACCTTTGCCATTTTCAGGAGACGGGTTTATCAGCCAGCCTACCCCCGATTGCGCACTGGATTGGCGGGTAGCTGCCGAGTCAACGCCGTTCCGCCGCTCAGGACTCACTTGGGTAAGCTTACACCTTTTCCTTTCCAGGCAATGTAAGGCATCCCATCCTCGTCGCCAGTGTTGAGCCCTTCGCGGAAGGCAAGACACCAGAAGCAGTTGTAGTTCTCAGGTTTTCTTTATTCTGTGTTCAGCTTACAGATAGAAGGCTTCAGCAGCGCCCAAAAGCTCCCAGCCTCTTATATAGGCATTTCCCAGGTCAATGTGTTACTTTTCCCGCGCCAGCACCCACCCATGCGCACGGGCGCTGGCGACAGCCTGTCTGGTCCCGGGCAGCTTTGCACCTGCCCGGGACTGCCTGCAAACGCCTCAAGCCCGTTTGCAAGGCTCGGGACATAACAGGTACCTTGATCAATAGTAGTAACTATTGAATCCTAGTGGATAATCCCTTAAATATGAGCCAGCCGTGTGCTGCAGCTGCCAAAAAAGCCAACTCAGTGCTAGGCTGCATTAACAGAGGGAGAGAATCAAGATTATGTGAAGCATTAATACCACTTTACAATGTCTTGGTAAGGCCACACTTGGAATACTGCATCCAGTTTTGGTCACCACGATGTAAAAAAGATGTTGAGACTCTAGAACAGTGGTTCTCAACCTGTGGTTCAGGACCCCATTTGGGGTCGAACGACCATTTCATGGGGGTCGCCAAACCATGCTGTCCACCATTTTGTTCCCTTTTCCCTAGCTGTCCTACTCCCTCTTATTGGTGGCCACACCTACTTGGGGGTCACCACAACATGGGGAACTGTATTATGGGGTCACGGCATTAGAAAGGTTGAGAACCACTGTTCTAGAAAGAGTACAGAGAAGAGCAACAAAGATGATTAGGGGACTGGAGGCTAAAGCATGTAAGGAACGGTTGCTGGAATTGGCTATGGCTAGTTTAATGAAGAGAAGGATGAGGGGGGGACAGGATAGCAGTCTTCCAGTATCTCAGCGGCTGCCCACAAAGAAGAGGGAATTACACTATTCTCCAAAGCCCCTGAAGGCAGGACAAGAAGCCACGGGTGGAAACTAACCAAGGAGAGAAGCAACCTGGAACTAAGGAGAAACTTCCTGACAGTCAGAACAATTAACCAGTGGAACAATCTGCCTCCAGAAGCAGTAAATCCTCCAACACTGGAAGTTTTTAAGAAGAGACTGGACAGCCATTTGTCTGAAATGGTACAGGGTTCCCTGCCTGAGCAGGAGGTTGGACTAGATGCCCTCCAAGGTCCCTTCCAAGTTTATTATTATTAATTCTCTCTTATCATTATTAATCCCCCATGGGAGGGGGGATTATGATGGGGCAGAAAGGAAGCTGGCGATTGACACGCTCCCCTCTCCAAGGTCTACATCCGTGTTTCTCAAACTTGGCAACTCCGACAGCTGCGGAGTCCCCTCGCCGACGGTCGCCCTTTGCAGCCCCCTCCCCTGGCTGAGGGAAAGGCGTCGCCCCCCGCCGAGCCCCGGGTCCCCCTCCTGCCCCCCCCGGGGCGAGGCGAGCTTGTCCCGGGCTGCGGCCCCGGCCGGGGAGGGCTCCGTTGCCAGGAGGTGTCCCCCTCCCGCCTCCCCCTCAAGGCCAGCAGCCTCCCCGGACGGTCTCCGAGGAGCGGAAGGGCAGACTCGCTCCTCGGCCAGGTTAACGGGTCGGGTCGGCTGCAACTGGGCTCAGACGCGGACCTGGCGTTGCCGGTCCAGGAACGGCGCAGCACATCCAGTCGCGTCCCGGACACGAGCCCAGCGCTGAAGTGCGCCGAGGAGCCTCGCCGGGGCCTGGGGCCGGCCGGGCGCTTCTGCGCCGAGGAAGCTGGAGCAGGACGGGGGAGAGCGGCCTTCTGCGCGCCCCCCCCGACAGAGAGGGAGGGAGGGAGGGAGGGGATGGGAGGCGGCGGGTCCGGGCGAGGCCCGCTCCGGGTAGGCGGGGCTGCGGGGCGCAGGGTATAAAAGTCGGCCCCGAGGTCCGGGCTCAGCTCGCTCCCTCCTCCTCCTCGTCGCCGACCGTCTCTCCAGCGCTCCGTCCTCCAGCAGCCAGCATGGTGCACTGGACGCCCGTACAGACGCAGCTGATCACCGCCCTCTGGAGCGAGGTGGACGTGCTCGAAGTGGACGCTGCCACCCTCGGGAGGTAAGAGCTGCGGCCGGGCCGGGGGAGGGCAGGGCAGGCCCCGCAGGGACCCCCCCCACCGTCTCCTCCTCCTCCTCCCCTTTCTCTCTCCCTCCCTCCCCTGGCAGACTGCTGGTGGTGTACCCCTGGACCCAGCGCTACTTCGCCCACTTCGGGAACCTCTCCGGCCCCAGCGCCATCTCCGCCAACCCCCTGCACGTGGACCCCGGGAACTTCAGGGTGAGGTGGAACCCCCCCCCGCCTCCCTCCCGGGCTGGGCACCTCCTCTCCTTGGCACCAGGGCAGCCTTTTCCGGCTGGGTCCTGCCCTGAAATGGCGGCAGTGGGCCCGTTCAGGGTCAGGAAGGAGCCAAAAGTCTCCCAGGAGAGGGACCGCTGTCCGGTCACAGGGCTGACCTGGATCAGAGGGACAATTGATTGGCGCAGTCCAGGAGGGAAAGGTGGAGCGTCTGAACATGTCCACTGCTCCTTCTGGGTTCCGTGTCAGGGCGGGGGCAGGGGTGGGGCGGGGGGGGCAAAGGGCAGAGATGCCAGCCAAGGCTCCTCTTGCAGCAGGTGTCAGTCCCCCCCCCTCCTCTCTTCCAGCTTCTGGGCAACGTCCTCATCATTGTCCTGGCCGGCGACCATGGGAAAGAGTTTACCCCCAGCACCCACGCCGCCTTTCAGAAGCTGACCAATGTGGTGGCCCACGCCTTGGCCTACCGCTACCACTAGGCCTCCCAGTAGGCATGGCAGCCGCCTGCCCCCCCTCGCCATGCCTGGAGCCCCTCCTAGCCCACGGAAGACGCAATAAAATTTTCCCCAGAACAAGCAGAATGTTGTGCTTTTGTGGTCCTGGGAGGGAGACTGGGGGGAGGAGAGCAGTCTTGCTGGGTCACCCGAAGCCCCCCCCCCCGCCTGACCCCAGGGAAGCACAGTTGGGGGCTGAGGGAAAGGAACAGGATTTCTTTGGGGCAAAGTCGGGGCTGGAGAAGCAACAGTTCTGCCATTTGCTGAACTCACTAAACTCTGCAGTTTCTGGGGGGGGGAGGGTGTTCTTCCTTTGCTGGGGGAGGGGTCCGTTTCTAGAGCCCCCATCCTCCTCCACCCCAAGCTTTGGAGGTTAAGAAAGAAATAGGACTTCAACCCAGACACTGGGGAGGGGAACCTTAATAATTTCTTACATGGGGCGGGGAGAGAGCACAATTAATTGACATAACTTGCTAAGATCTCACTGCCCCCCCACAATATTCACCAAATTTAGCTCATGCAGGCCTGGGGGGAGGGGGGCTTTGGGGAAAGAGCAGAAGATGCTGGCAACAGAGCTAATGGGGAGGCTGGGAGAGGCGGGGGAGGGGGAGATCAGCTGGCCTAACCTGCCCCGTGTCCAGTGGGGAACTGAGCAGGGTGCCACACAGACAGAGGCCCTGCTCAAAGCCCACCCTTCTCAAGCCCTCTTGTGGGGCTCAGAGGCAGGAGGGCAGGGAAGCAGGTTGGGGAGCCCCTCCCCCAAGGAAACGACCCCCTTCGGTTTCCCCACGGCTGAACCCAGGCGCAATAGCCTTGCCTTCCAGAAGCATTGATGTATTTATTAGATGCGACTCAACCCCGGGAGCCCCCACACAACAATGCAGCAATAGCAACAATAACGGCCCTTAACAACAATCCCATAAACAGCACACCGAAAACTCCACCTTTGGGGCCTCCCAGCCTGCCCCAAGGCATGTGGGAAGAGCCCTGTCTTCATGGGGGTGGAGGGGGGGGCTGTTGCATCCTAAGGGCAGGAGGAGAGTTGCAAGGAAGCCGCCATGCTGCCTGGCTCCACCAGGGGGCAGCCTTTGAGGGAAGGGGAGGGAACTTGACACAGGTCGGCAGGGGGGGCATCCAAAGAGAGGGAAGGGAGGCAGGGGGGGGAGTGGGGCAGAGACCCCCCTGCTTCAGTGGCCGCCCTTCCTAGGACCCTCCCCACCTGCCTTTTGCCCAAGGGGGCAGAGAGGACGCTAGAGGGACCCTCCTTCCTCCTCGCCCCAGGCTAAAACCTGCAAAGAATGATTGCAGGACCCGGGAATGTCACTTTTAACGAAGAGAAGGACAGGATAGCAGTCTTCCAATATCTGAGGGGCTGCCCCAAAGAAGAGGGAGTCAAGCTCTTCTCCAGAGACCCTGAAGAAGCCGGGACAAGAAGCAACGGAGGGAAACTCACCAAGGAGAGAACCAAACTTAGAAATATCAAATAAGAAGAAACTTCCTGACAGGGAGAACAATCAGTGGAAAGACGTTTCCTGCAAGAGTTGTCGCTGGAGGTTTCCAAGGAAAGACTGGACAGCCACCTGTCTGGGAAGGTCTAGGCCAGGGGTAGGCAACCTTGGCTCTTTTATGACTCGTGGACTTCAACTCCCAGAATTCCTGAGCCAGCTATGCTGGGAGTTGAAGTCCACGAGTCATAAAAGAGCCAAGGTTGCCTACCCCTGGTCTAGGCTCTCCTGTTTGAGCAGGGGGCTGGACTAGAAGACCTCCAAGGTCCCTCCCAGCACTTACTCTTCCTGGGCCAGAGACTCATCCCTCCCTCCTTCCCTCCACCATGCTCAGACCCAGGGGGGCTGGGCACCAGCAGGGCTCCTCTGCCAGCCCCCCCCTTGTTCCCCGGAGGGCCCACCTGCTGGGATCCTTTCCCCCTGGGGGCTGCTCAAGGTCTGTGGTGGGAACGGGTTGCCTGGCTGCTCCTGTCCCCATGCTGGGAAGCCCTGGGACTGTGTGCCCGCACCCATCCTGCAGGGAAGCCTTGCTGCCCAGGCCGAGGGCCCCGTAATGGCAAGATTGGGGGGGTTCTTGAGGGTGCCCCCTAGAGAATCAGCCTTCCCGGCCAGCTTCCTTTTGCCTTGAGCCTCAACCCCTATTGGGAGCACCTGGCTGGCTTTCGTTTGGACTCCAGGCCGGTCGGGTCTTCGCTTGTCTTTGGTTCTGGATAATTCCTGGCAGAGTGTGGCTGTGGTTCTGTGGGCTGTTGCTATTCCTAAGGGTTGGAGAACTCTGGCTGTCATTTCTGTCACCCCCGTTTGTATCTGGTAGGATTAGTGTTTACTCAGTGGTCGGCTGTGTGGTGCATTGTGTTTTTGGTGCTGTCGGAATACAAAGTTTCTCAGAGAGCTGTTGTGGAGAAAGGCGCCAGGCAGGCATTTCTCCTCCACTTTTCTCTGCATTGTGGTGCTGCAGGGGGTCCTGCCCCCCCCCAAAGAGGGACTGGAGGCAGCTCCTGTGTGTGTGGTGGTGGGGGGTTGACCTTGGAGGTCATCTAGTCCAACCCCCTGCTCAGGCAGGAAACCCTAGACCATTTCGGACAAATGGCTGTCCAGTCTCTTCTTAAAAACTTCCAGTGTTGGAGCATTCACCGCTTCTGCAGGCAGATTGTTCCACTGGTTAATTGTTCTGACTGTCAGGAAGTTTCTCCTTAGTTCCAGGTTGCTTCTCTCCTTGGTTAGTTTCCACCCGTGGCTTCTTGTCCTGCCTTCAGGGGCTTTGGAGAATAGCTTAATTCCCTCTTCTTTGTGGGCATCCGCTGAGATACTGGAAGACTGCTATCCTGTCCCCCCCCTCATCCTTCTCTTCATTAAACTAGCCATAGCCAATTCCAGCAACCGTTCCTTACATGCTTTAGCCTCCAGTCCCCTAATCATCTTTGTGGCTCTTCTCTGTACTCTTTCTAGAGTCTCAGCATCTTTTTTACATCGTGGTGACCAAAACTGGATGCAGGATTCCAAGTGTGGCCTTACCAAGACATTGTAAAGTGGTAATAACGCTTCACATCATCTTGATTCTCTCCCTCTGTTAATGCAGCCTAGCACTGAGTTGGCTTTTTTGCAGCTGCAGCACACTGCTGGCTCATATTTAAGGGATTATCCACTAGGATTCAATAGTTACTACTATTGAGCAAGGTACCTGTTATGTCCCGAGCCTTGCAAACGGGCTTGGGGCGTTTGCAGGCAGTCCCGGGCAGGTGCAAAGCTGCCCGGGACCAGACAGGCTGTCGCCAGCGCCTGTGCGCATGCGCGGGTGCTGGCGCGGGAAAAGTAACACATTGACGTGGGAAATGCCTATATAAGAGGCTGGGAGCTTTTGGGCGCTGCTGAAGCCTTCTATCTGTAAGCTGAACACAGAATAAAGAAAACCTGAGAACTACAACTGCTTCTTGTGTCTTGCCTTCCGCGAAGGACTCAACAGTACCCCCTATACTATACCTGTGCATTTGGTTTTTCTTGCCTAAATGTAGAACCTTGCTTTTTTCACCATTGAATTTCATTTTGTTAGTTAGTGCCCAGTGTTCAAGTCTGTCCAGATCCTTCTGTATCTGAAGCCTGTCTTCTGGAGTGTTGGCTATTCCTGCCAGATTGGTGTCATCTGCAAATTTGATGAGTTCCCCATCTATCCCTTCATCCAAATCGTTGATGAAGATGTTGAAGAGTACTGGGCCCAGAACAGAGCCCTGGGGCACCCCACTACACACTTCCCTCCATGTAGATGCGGTTCCACCTTCAACTGAACCCAGCCTACTCCACAGGGTTGTTGTTGCGGGCAATCTGGGCATCCTGTTGAATTCTTGGAAGAAGAGGAGAGAGGGGAGCAAGTCAGGGTGACCCAGTGACAGTGGTGGGATTCAACCAGTTCGCCCCACTTTGGCAGAACTGGTAGCTATTTTTTGGTTGCCCAGGCCCAGAATGGACTTCCAGAAGCAGCATCCACACAGAGACCCTGTTGTTCTCAGATTTGAATCCCACCACTGCCCAGGGAGTTGGAGTGGCCATCATCTCAGAACCATGTGTTAGTTGGGACCCTCCAGAAAGGGTCTAGGCCAGGGGGAGGCAGCCTTGGCTCTTTTATGACTCCTGGACTTCAACTCCCAGAATTCCTAAGCCAGCATGAGGGAACTATGGCCCCTTCATGACTCATGGACTTCAACTCCCAGAATTCCTAAGCCAGCATGAGGGAACTATGGCCCCTTCATGACTCATGGACTTCAACTCCCACAATTCCTAAGCCAGCATGAGGGAACTATGGCCCCTTCATGACTCATGGACTTCAACTCCCACAATTCCTAAGCCAGCATGGGGGAACTAAGGCCCCCTCATGACTCGTGGACTTCAACTTCCAGAATTCCTGAGCCAGCATGGCTCAGCTGGGAAACCTCCCTTTCCCTCAGTATGGCTGGCTGAGGAATTCTGGGAGTTGAAGAAGACTGGTGCTGGAGAAGACTCCTGTGGTGCTGGAGAAGACTCGCAGGAGTCTTCTCCAGCACCAGAGTTCAATGGCCTCCATTCTTTGGCGCTCAGCCTTTTTTATGGTCCAACTTTCACAGCCATACATTGGAACTGGGAAAACCATGGCCTGGACTATACACACTTTTGTTGGCAGGGTGATGTCTCTGCTTTTTAGTATGCTGTCTTTCTCTGTCTCTGTCTTTCTCTGGAATAGCCAGAGCCAAATCCTGCAGCCGTTCTTCGTATGTTTTACTCTCCAGTCCTTTAATCATCCTAGTTGCTCTTCTCTGCATTTTTTTCCAAGTCTCAACATCTTTTTTGTAATGTGGTGACCAAAATTGAATGCAGCATTCCAGTCTGGTTTTACCTAGGTTTTATAAAGTGATACTAACGTGTGATTATAATTCTATGCCTCTGTTTATGCAACCCAGGATTGTATTAGCTTTTTTGGCTGCTGCTGCACACGGCTGGCTCATGGTCAAGGGATCGTCCACTAGGACTCCAAGGTCCCTCTCACAGTTGCTGTTTTTGAGCCTGGTCTCACCTAATCTGTAGTTATAT